TGAGGAGAGGGGGGGGGGGGGCTGCTTGCAGCAACGAAGCCAAGGCTGGACAGGGAAAGGGGGGAAAGAATGGAAAATATGTCCAGCTCGAGGTGCGGAAGGGCCCTCCTCGTTCCGAGGGCACCTGTCACGCCCTCTCTCCCCGGCCATTTTACATCGGACCGGCCAACGGCCGGTGACGCGGCACATGGGTGCGCTCACTTGCGCCGGCCGCCGGTGGCCTTGCGACCGGACTTGCGACCACCGCTGGGGGCAGCGGCGGCGGCGGCGGCCGGGGCAGCAGCAGCAGCGGCAGCAGCCGGGGCCGGGGCCGCGCCGGCAGCCGGCTTCTGGGGGGCCGGGGCGGCAGCCGCCGGCGGGGCGTTCTTCAGGCCCAGGATGCGCTCGTGGTACACGGACAGGATCTTGAACTCACGGAAGAGCGACTGGAAGGGCAGGGCGGCAGCCGGCAGGGAGGACGACTCGGTCTCGGCCTCGGCCTCGGTCTCGGTCTCAGCCTCGGTCTCAGCCTCGGTCTCGGCCTCCGCCTTGGCATCGGCATCCTTCTTGAGGGAGCCGACCGCGGCGGCGGTGGCCTTGGCCTGCTGCTTGTTGAAGTGCTCATCCAGGCTGGCAAACACGTCCTCCGGGAAGAGCGAGCGAACCAGGGCCGCGGCGCTGCCCTGGTGGAGCAGCGCACGGTCCAGGGCATCCGCCGAGTCCTTGGACAGGAGAACCCGCGCAAGGAGGGAATCCGTCTGGGCCAGGGACAGCACGGCGCTCTGGCTTGGGGCCGAGGAGGCGTCGTCGGCCGAGGCGGCAGTCACGGCCGGGGCCGGGGTATCGGCCACCAGCCGAGCGAAGACCGACCGCGAAAGCAGCAGCAGGTCCAGGCCCAGGGCACTGTGCGAGGTCTCCAGCACGGCGGAGGCCAGGATCTGCGCCACATGGGCCAGCTTGACCGCGGCCGGGGTGACCACAAAGCCGGCCGGCAGCATGTCGAACTGGGCCAGAGCCCGGTTCAGGGCGGCCAGGTCGGTCTGCTCGGCCGGGGACAGGACCGGCACCGGGCCGGCCGCCACCGGGACAATGGTGTCCATGGAGGCACGCGCGCGCAGCAGCCCCAGCAGGCGGCGGTAGTAGACCACCGCCCGGCCGAAGTCCATGCTGAGGGTCAGATCGGCCAGCTCCTCGTACAGGGACACCACCGACCCATGGTCCAGGCCGAGGGCACGCTCGGCGATGGCCACCGCCAGCTCCAGATGGTAGACCGCCATGTCGGTCTTCTCGCGCAGCAGGCAAATGCTGGACAGGAGCTGCATCAGGGCCGCCGAGGAGGCGGAAATGAAGTTGTGCTGCGAGGGCTGCAGCATGAGGGTCATGTTGGCGGCCTGCATGGCCAGGCCATTGGCATTGGCCAGGGCCGCCGACTCGGCGGTCAGATCGCCAGCCGGGTACTCCACGGCCTGGAGCTTGGCCAGGGCCTCCTGCGCGCGGGTCTGATGCTGGCGGAAGGCCGTCAGCCGGTCGGTCAGCTGCTTCAGATAGGCCTCGGTCAGGGTGATGTTCTCGTCGACGCGCTCGACATCGGCCCCGGGCTGGTCGCGGATCTTGCGCATGTCGGCCAGATGGCGCGCGAATTTGTCATGCTCCTCGGTGGTCTGGGTCAGCAGGATGGCCACCTGGCTCAGCTCGCTGGACAGCTGGGTCTCCTGGCGCTCGCGCGTCTGGAGGAAGTTCAACCGGCGCGAGCACAGCCGCGACGCCTCCGCATGGAACCCATGAGCCGAAGACACCAGCCCCTTGTAGTCGGCCAGCGGGGCCATGTCCACGGAGTAGGCCACCGGCAGCAGGGCCAGCACATCCTCCGGCTGGAAGACGCCATTCCGGTGCTGGCCGGCCAGCGCCGCGGCCAGCGGGTACGACCGGGCCACCAGCTGGATGCCCACCTTGGTGGCCAGGGCATTGAGAACCCAGAAGGGCGAGATGGCCGGCAGGGTGTCGTCCTCGCCGCCGGGCAGGGTGAAGCGGAAGTGCGCGCGCGCATGCTGGCGAATGGCCGCCCACACCGAGGCATGGGTGATGCTCTCGACCGTGGTGGCCGGCTTCCGGGGGTTGCCGCCGAACTTCGGCACGAACAGCGCATTCAGGAAGGCGGTCACCGCGGCCAGGACATCGGCCGTCGGGGTGGCGAAGAGCACCTGACGCAGGTGGGCCTTGGCCGACCGGGCCACGATGTCCGACACCAGGATGTTCACCAGCGGGGTGGCGTGCTGCTGGCCGGCCAGGTGCGCCAGGGCACCGAGGTAGCGCATGGAAATGCCGGACTCATGCATGTGCGCCGACAGGGCCGCCGAGTCCAGGATGAACTGCGAAGAGGGGCTGGCCAGGTTGCGCACGAACCCCGGCAGGACGGTGTCCCACAGGTAGTCGGCCAGCTGGCCCACCGGGCCGGCGGCGCGCTCCTCGGCCTCGGCCGTCAGCCGGACATCCGGCCGGGCGAAGTTCACGTCGAAGGCATTGGCCGCCAGGAAGGCGGTCAGCTGCTCCTCATCCGACCCGGTGAGGGTCTCCTTGTCGGCCTCGGCCAGGTGCTTCTTGAACTGGCTCGACAGGAAGTGCTTGACCAGCTCATGGCGGAAGAGCGGCACGCGGTGGCTGAAAGCCTCGTCCAGGGGCCCGGCAAAGGCCAGCGCGCGGCCGGCCTGCTCCAGGCGCGGGGCCTCCGGCAGGAAGTTCACATCGACCGGCGCGGTGAAGAACATCTCCATCAGGAAGCGACGGCTGTCGGTGCCGAGGAGGCCCTGTGGAGGGGGGGAGAGAGAGAGAGGGGGGGGGGGGCAGGGCACATGGGTGAGCATCGGCGAGGGGCGCGCGGGCGAGAGGGGGCCGGGGCCCGAGGAGGCCCGCCAGGGGGAAGACCACGCACCTTGGCGTCGAAGCTGCCGTGGATGGTGATCGGCTCCTCGGAGACCGGGTCGATGACGGTGGACTCGGCCATGTGGAACTGCTTGGCCACCTTGCGGGAGATGGCATTGAAGTCCTCATCGGCCTGGCGATAGGTGGAGATGACGTTGTACTGGTCGTCGGCGATGTGGCCGAGCTTGATCAGGCGCGAGGCGTAGGAGTTGACATTGGCCTCGAGGCTGGCGGCCTTGATGGCGGCCAGGGTCTCCTCCTCGGAGAGCCCGGCGGCGGCGGCCTCCATGGTGGCCTTCTCGACGGCGCGCTCGATCGAATCGTCACGACGCATGATGCCCGGGATGAGGGACTGGGCCAGGACACGGTGGCCGCGGTAGTCCACCACGGTGGACAGCATGTGCGACAGACCGTCGACGCCGAAGGACAGGAGCTGCGAGAAGCACTGGAGCTCCTTGGTGGCGAGGTAGTGGGCTGGAGGGGGGGGGGGGGGAGGGGGAAGGGGGAAAGAGGGCACGCATGGTCAGGATACAAGGCGGGCGGGCAGGCGCGCGCGCGCGCAAGCGGGGCGGGGGCGGGGGACCGCACACAGCGGTCAAAACACACCGGCAGACTCGCCGCCCAGGGCAGCGCGGACATTCCCCTGGCCGGTGATCACGGAGAAGAAGATGTTGTTGTGCAGGAAGAGCGGCGCCTCCGGGGCGCCATCCTCCTGGGTGCCGAGCGGGCAGAGCTGGCCATCGATGGCGGCCATGGCGCCCTTGGTGGCGGCCTCGGTGAAGGACTGCAGGATGTCGCAGATGCTGCGGTAGCGGACGAGGCGCTGCTCGGCGGTGCCGGCCGGCGCGCCGGCCGACGTGTTGATCTCCTCGATCCAGTCGGCCAGGACGCCGGGCGAGCGCTGGCCCTCCGGGGCCGGGCCGGCGGCAAAGGCATCCGCCCGCTTGGCCAGCGTCAGGGGGTGCTCCTTGGGCAGCTGGGCCGGGAGCAGCCACTGGACCGCTGGGCGGAAGGGCGCGATGATGTCGACATCGCTCTGGGAAGTGATGGCGGCCAGCAGGTCATCCATCTGGCGGGCCACCTGCGAGTCCTCGGCCACGAGCAGGTCGATCAGCGAGAAGTAGTGGCCCTCGGCCAGGGGGACCAGCGGCTCGGGGGCGGCGGCGGCCGTGGCGGCCGCGGCATTGGACGCCGGGGCCGAGCCGGCAAAGGCGAGGGAGTACTTGTCGCGGCCGGCGCGCGGGCCCGGGCGGCGGGTGGACGAGGCACGGTTGGAGCCGGAGGCAGGCGACTCCAGGCGGAAGCCCTTGGTGGTGGCGACGACGGTCAGCTGGCGGCCGCCCGACAGCTCGATGGCCAGGAAGAAGAGCACACCGCGCAGGCGCTGGGCCGGGGCCGGGGGATTCTGCGGATGGTTGAGGGAGATCCGGCGGACCGGGTGGGGGATGCGATCGGCGATCAGAGACAGCTTGCTGGGGAAGAGGGACTCGGCGAAGTCCTCGAAGACCCAGGACTGCAGGGCGGCCACCTGCTCGGGGGTCGGGGCGGCGGCCGGCTCGTCGGGGCTACCGCCGGCCGTCAGGAGGTCCATCATGTCGACGGCCGTCTTGTCCATGAGCGAGTGGAAGACGCTGACCGAGGAAAGCTCCCCGTGGATGGCGCTGCTGGGGGGGTGGAAGAGCGAGCCGGCCAGGATGTCGCGCACGCGCTCCACATGCTCGCGCGCGCTGAACTGCGTCATCGAGGTGGGCACCAGCAGCAGCGACAGGATCTCGGCGTCGGCCGCCGGCGCGGGGAAGGCGTCCTGGCTGCTGTCGGCCGCGGTGGTGGACAGGGCCGCCTGGCCCAGGCGCTGGACAAGGGCCCGGTCGGCGTCGGTGGTGGCCGTGGCCGGGTCCTCCTCCTGCATGAGGAGGGCCTCCTGCGGCGAGAGGTACAGCGGCAGGGAGGCAGATCGGAAGAGCGTCGTGTCGCCGGCGCGGGGAAGGCGTCCTGGCTGCTGTCGGCCGCGGTGGTGGACAGGGCCGCCTGGCCCAGGCGCTGGACAAGGGCCCGGTCGGCGTCGGTGGTGGCCGTGGCCGGGTCCTCCTCCTGCATGAGGAGGGCCTCCTGCGGCGAGAGGTACAGCGGCAGGGAGGCGCCATTCTTGAGAGCCAGGGTGAAGTGCGAGAAGTGCAGGATGGCCGGGTTGGTGGAGAAGAGGATGACCACGTCATTGAGCGACGGGCAGTCCGGGATCGGGAAGTACACCGGGTCGACCTTGCCCGGCAGGTAAACCAGCAGGTCGAGACCGGCGGCACCGACGTCCTCCTCGTGCTCGGCCTCGGTGTTCTCCTCGGCGGCGGGGCTGGCGGCGGTGGTGGCATTGGTCGGGACACTGAGGACCTCGCTCATGTCAACGGTGTCGGGCACATCGACCACAGCGTTGACGTCGGCGACCTGGGCGGATGTCATGGTGTTGCTTTCGGGAGGGGGGGGGG